AATTGTTTTGTTCATAATTTTAAATGCTCTGTACATAGATTTATCTGTTTGTATATAGCTTGTGCACCTAAGGTTTTCTTTACTTTTTATTTTATTTTATCAATTTTATTTATTGTTTCAACGTTCAGGCCAGTAATATTCTATTATTTTGTACATTATTGTTATTCTGAAGGGACTTAGTCCCAGAATAAAGTTTTTTTTTCTATCTATCTATCTATTATTGTGGAGGCAAGGTGAATGAATTTTTCTAGTTTTGGGAATGATTTTCCTTATACGCAGATCTTGTTATTGAGGTGGAATTTTCAGCTTATTATCATATATTTTGTTTTCATTTACATGTAGGCCGATTTGTTCTGCCTCTCTTATCAGAGTCTAAGCGAGTTTCTCAATTTCCTCTTGATTACTTCCAAGGACAGCTATATCATCTGAATATCCAAGAATTTTATGATTCATTCCGACATGTACCCCTCCATTTTCCTGTGATGTTCTTATTACCTTCTCCAGGGCTAAGTAGAACAACATCGGTGATAGTCCATCTCTCTGCCGTAAGTCCGTTCCAACTTTGAAGGCTTCAGATATTTCTCCTTGAATTAGGACCCTACATTTAAAGTTATTTATACAAGCCTTTGTCAATCTCACCAACTTACTGGGAACTCCCAGTTCAGTCATGATTTTCAAAAGACAACTCCTGACCACAGAATCATAGGCTGCTTTGAAATCGACAAATAGGGAGTAGATGTCCTGAGCTACTTCCCATCATTTTTTAAGTACTTGTTTTAGGATAAAGATCTGGTCTAGCGTGCTCCTTCCTTTTCTGGATCCAGCTTGGTGGTAGCATATTATATTGTCGTAATACGGATATATCCTGTTTAGTAGGATATTGGTCATTATCTTGTAGGCGACCAGAAGGAGTGCTATGCCTCTGTAATTACTACACTCATACATGGAGCCTTTCATTGGAATAGGACAGATTAGATAGGAAATCAACGTATTAAGGGAATGTTACGAACAGAATTAATTTACCGTACAGAAGTCAATAGAAAAACCAAATTATTTTTATAATTAAACCCAACTTCATATGCATCTCACAGAAATGATAATGGTGACAGAATTTGGGCTGTTAAGAAGATGAAGGAAGCATGCTCAACACACCAATATTACCAGAAAATGAAAGCATTTAAATTAAAATTATTATGCAACAAACATAACCCATCAAAGACCTAAATGATTTATTGATAACTACAGAAAAGAAAAACTTCTCAACTGAAGTTTTATTCTTCATTTTTTGTTAAATAGACAAAGAATGCTAAATAAATATACTACTAAAAGCAACATAAATATAAAATGTCATAAATATGTACATATATAGATTAATAATCAATAACTACTCATTTTCAAAAAGAATAAAAATCTTATAAGCCCTATCAATTATTAAAAACATATACATCAATTAATACAAAAAAAAAAAAAAATTAAGTTGTGTGCTTTAGATCACGCGATAGAAGTGAAAACATCAACAAGGCGAGATTAATAATATGAAATATAAATTATAAATAATAGCTCATTATAAAGAAGATGAAATGCTGAACAATTCCCTTGCTTACTGTACGCAGGTCTGACTTTTAGTTTCTGAAATATTTTAGTCCATATCTTAAATAAAAGTCTTTATTATTTGGTTTTCGACACTATTTTTTTTCCTTTTCGCCTCCCTAACACGGCGTTAAGATATAATCTTTCATAATAGCCCATCACAGAGAGGATGCTGAACCATTCTCTTGTTTACAGTATGCAGGTCCGATTTTTAGTTTTACGAGATATTTTAATCCATATGCAAAACTACTTCAATTAGTCGACTCCAGCCGATTATACCCGAGCGTTACACATCGCAAATCTGACGGTTCAATCTAATTCACTCTCCACAAAAAAAAGTGCAAAATGCGCACACCTAAAGAAGTTTTCACTTCAAAAACTAAAAAGAATTTGATAACTTCTTGATTTGTCACTTGAAGACAACAGATTTATTTTATTATTGTTATACATGTCTCATTATATTCTAAATGAAAATTTGTAACTTCCATTGTATGCCTAAATAATAATATAAATTAATTAAGCTTAAGTTGTTAATAAATAATATTGAAATGGACAAGTAATCTTTTGTCGGATACAAAATGAGCCTCAGGACTGTGAGCTGATACAGAGTGACATACCAATTTTTTTAAGGTATTGGATTGGAAAACTGCTATACTCAATTTAAAGTTATATATTAAAAGAAAAAAAAACTTCTGTTAAGATCAGCTACCTCTTCATTCCTATTTAGCAAATAAGGAAAAGCGAATTTACTGTTTTAATTTTACTCAGACACAGTCAGGTATCTTGGCTTTCATTTAGACCGAAGACTAGCGTGGAACCCGCATACTAGACTCAAAAGACAAGAACTCAACCGACAATACAGCCAACTATACCGACTACTAAACAGAAAATCTAAACTTTCCATTGAAAACAAGCTACTGATCTACAAGACAATACTGAAACCTATTTGGACTTACGGACTAGAACTGTGGGGATCAGCAAAATTTTCTAACATCAAGCGCATCCAATCCTTCCAGTCAAAAGTCCTTCGAACAATAGTCGATGCTCCTTTCTATGTAACCAACAAAACCCTACATCATGACCTCAACATCCCATTTGTCCTAGACCTTATCCCAGAAAAATTCTCCAAATTTCACCAGAACCTTACGTACCACCCAAATCCTCTTGCACAATCCCTATCAAGCACCTCCCATCCCTATAATCCTCCAAGAAGGTTGAAACGGCAGTGGCCTCGCGACCTTTTGTAGATTGTATAAATTGGAGTTCTGGCAATGGCCAGATTCTTCACTCAAGACATGTGTGTATGTGGCTAAAGTGCTCTCGACCAATCTCCGCTGGCTTTAGTACCAGTGACGCGGTTGGAGAGTAGCGCAGGGTTCTCCTGGAGTTCCCTCGCCTGATTGTATATAGGTATGCATGTGTTTTTTTTTTTTCTTAGTTTTAATTTTCTTATTTTTTAGGTTATTTTATTTTATTATCTATTGTATATACTTTTGATTATTATTTTGTTTCTATTTATTTATTTTATTTTTTTGTACATATAGTTTGAATGTCATCCTACCTCACTATAACCAATGTCCAAGAGACAGATTGTTGTAATAAGAAAGAAATAATAATTTTCAATAAAGAAATAAAAAAAAAACTGTTTTAATTGTTTATTTTGACATGTTTTCAGAAAATGCATTCCTCTCTTTACCATCTTCAGTGTTGCTGTCATTTAACATAAACTACCTGGGGTACATTTGTATCCCTGGAATCCATTCAATGTTTATACCACATAAGCGAAAGTAGTGGTTGAAAAAAAACACATGTTCCACTACAACCCATAAATGTTCTTGAGTTCAGCACTTTGTAAGAAAGTAATATTTCAAGGCAGTCAAGATCCAATAATGGATTGTCAAGCTTGGGATGATGATGAGGACGATTTCAAGACCAACAGAGAGGGACTTTGCACTGGAAGGTGATTGGGCAAAGATCACACTTAATTGCCAGAACTTAATTAATTATTTCATAAGGGATGCCTACTTTATAGAGGTTGGGCATCCACAGGAAGATCTCCTGACCATATGAAGTTTAACAAAATTCATAATTTTAACTTTAAATCAAATTGAATCCTTCTTATGGATAAAATATGGAAGGTATACAAAATCTCCAAGAGCAGTAGTGAGATTTTGAAACCTAACTCCAGCTCAAGCCAAGATACATGCAGTTGTTATTGTAGTGAGAGCAACATCATACAAGAGAGGCAACTAAAATGGTACAGCCATGTCTATAGAACGGACAATACCACTCCACAATTGAGAAATTAGAGAAAAAAAACCGAAGTTAGAGGAAAAAGAAGAACCGAATTGAATAAATCATTTTTGAAATATAAGCCTGCTTAAAAAAATAAATGAGTGTATAAGCTAAAGTAGTGGATACAATTTCATGAAATTGATGCGAGACAATCAAAGTATCGACCCATCCAATTCTCGAAAATTTCATTGAAATTAAAGTTGGTCCTTCATATGGATTCGACTACAGACAAACACGTGCCAATGTTTTCCACGATGTTTAAAAAATAAAATGGGAGTAGGAAGTTTGATTCTGATTGTAAAAAATTTGTTAACCTTACAAAAAAACTGTACCAATTTAATTAATGAATAGTTTTGGCTTCATTACTTTGCAAGCATGATTTTTTTTTTTTTTTGGGTCCTCCCCTTCCTCATCTTTAGGGCTATATACGGGGTTTTCCAGGCCAGGGGTGAGGGCGAGGATTTAAAAGACTCCTGGCACCGGTATACGACCTCGTGACTATTTTTTATCAATTGTCTATAATTTCCTATATATAATATCAGGTTGCCGGGCAATGACAGTGCTGTGTACAGAGGTTAAATCATTTGACTACCCCGCCCACACTTTGTAAGCAAGTATTGCTTATTGGCCCAAGGGTTTTCTCCTAGTTAAGAATACCCACTTTACAAAGGCTGGTTGTGCCCCAAAAGGGACTCATTATTCCATGGTTGATCCATGGCTGATTAAATAGAAAAAATAATTATCTGCCATTGACAAATACCAAACCAGATCCAAGAGACAAGAACATCTAACTCAATGAGCTACCGCTCTCACCAAAGAAAATGGAAAGTTATGGTCGGTTAAAATCTGTTTAAGCAAAATCTGCTCTGAATCACCTCACTCACCTGTGCCTCACATTGTATCTATTTTAAGTTATTATCTTTTTTCAAACAGGTTTTAGATAATCCTTTCATTTATAGATAATAGAACATTAATCTAATATTTTAAAACTTTCATCATTATTCACATAAAACATCAAAAAAAATTTTAACAAAACACAAAATCTATATTTACAACACTCAAGTTTATTGAGAATACACGGATTTTATTGTCTTGATTATTTAAAATGCAATTACCTTGTATAGAATGTCTTTTATATGATCAACTATTCTTCTTGTAACTCTGGGTTCTAAGAACGCTTCTTTGCTTGAAATCAGAAGCCAATTCAATTCATTGATGGTATTTCTTCCAGCTTCGGTTTTTGACATGACCTCAATCGGTAATAAACATTCCACAGGCATTGTTAAATTAGCCAGAACCCTGCAAATAACAATTTTCAATAATTAACTATAGAGCATTAAATATTAAATAAAAATGGTGGAGAAATGATTGAATATATATAATATGTTTATGAAGTTGCAGTCACAATAAGAAACGCAAATAAAAATTATTTTATTTTGTGCTGACAAAAATTATTCCAAACTTATTATTGAAAGATATGAAAACAAAATATATGTTATCTGAAAATAAATAAATTCTGATAAGTGAATAAAAATTATATAACTATAACATCAAAATTAATTTGTGAATAAAATAAAAATTAATCAGTTAATAAAATAAAAAATAATTACTTGTGTAGGATAAATTAAAATATATAAATATTTTACAGTAAGTGCTTAAATTTTTATTTATATGTAATTTTTATTCACTTCTTAGAATTTATTAATTGGCAAATAATATATATTTTGTTTTCACATTGCTTTATAAATTAATATATTTTAGGTTTATAATAAGTTTTGGTTGTTATCTTGTATTTCCTTAGCTTTGAGAAAACTCTGAACTGAATGCTCCTCACACTTCGGCACAAAATAAAATTATTTTTTATTTGTATTTCTCACTGTGACTACAACCCACAACTAACTTCCTGACAATTAAATAAAAATCTTAAATTTTAATCATCTTTTTTATATCAATAAAGTAGTGCTTGCGTATACTTCCGATCTATTGACTGGTCAAAGAATAAGCCAGTATCGAAAATACTTATGCCATAGGTTACCGTTTTAAAGAAAACACAACATTTTAAAGATAAAATAAACTAGCCCCCCTCACTCAAAGAAAACCACTTCCTTTAATACCACCTCAATTTCCCGTGAAAACAGCATCATATTAACTTCAACTTTATCAAACCCATTAAAAGAGATTATACCAGAAGAATTAAGATCATTGAATCTTGAAACGATAGTGGAACATTATCACAGCCCTCCATGCATTCATACGTCCACCGAAGGTTCTGCTAAACAAGCTACACATGGTGGAGAGGCAGGTGCATATTCACATCGCTTTGCTATTTCCAAAATTAAAACAATTCTATTGGCACTCCAAGCCTTGTCATTCTTAGATACGAAAAACATTGTACTTTTAGTTGATCCACAGGCGGCTTTCCTCAATGTACCACGACCCAGTAAATCCTTTGCTCAGGATATTCTGAACTGCCAAAAAGTTATTTAGGGATTACTTCTTCCAGGAAGGGAGGTTTTCTTTCAATGGATACCAAGTCACTGTGGCCTCCATGGCAATGAAATAACAGATAAAGTCACCAAGAAAAGCTCTACATTGAACTAGCAAGAAAATTGAATATCATTTCATAGAGCCAGAAAGGTAAATAAAGCTCTAATGGAATCCGTAAAAAGCAGTTTACTGATAATTAATGTAGAAAATTATTTAATGATGCAGAACTGGTACCTATCAATCTGCCTAGAAAGGAAGCTGTTGCAGAGTTTCAGATGATAACAGGCCATGACTGAATATAGGAGTGGCAGACTCTCCACTGAGTAATCTAGTTAATAAAGGAAGGAGATGGTCCGGGGTGGCGGTCATAAATAGGCTAAATAGTGATAAAACTATTTAGCCTATTTATGACCGCCACCCCGGACCATCTCCTTCCTTTATAATGCAACGGTCAACTATTAAATATTCAATAATCTAGTTAATTCATTCAAAATCTCACATGGATGTAGTGCATTTAAATGTATGCGAATAGATATTAAATATCAGAGAGTGGAATACTATGGAGCTACAAGATCTCTAATGGCAGATGCTCATGCAGGAGGTATAAATAAATTTAAAAAAACAAAAAAAAAACTAGTGCTTAGGAAAAAAAAGATAAATTTCAATGTGAGATATTCATTCGATACAATTACGGAACCACCTTTTCAAAGTTAGAAACACGAGAAGAAAATAAAAATTTAAGAAGTTCTAAACATGCAATATAATTTAATTTGAAAATAATCTGGTCACCCCTCTTAAACTATAGGTCTTATCTGAAATTTGAATAAAGTATTTTTTCAAAGTAAGATTATCTACACAAAATAAAATAAAAATAAGTTCATAAAATACGTATGAATTAATAAATAAAATATATTATATATATAAATACACTGAATCTTAAAAAATAAATTTTATTATTATCTGAATAATTTGAGCTTTTTAATTTTAAGTACTTACTTTATTGAAGTATCAATGATTTTTCTGTCGTCTTTGACATTGATAAGAAGTGGCAATATCTCCTGTAAAAAATAAAATAAATAACTAAGCTGTCAACATATTTTTTTTTAAATGTGTTTTATATTAAGATTCTATTTTCCATATTATCATTATATAAATGTACAAAAAATATACATTCTTCATCCTTGAATTTCCTGAAGATCTTCGCTACCTCTTTACGATAACCTCTTTTGTACTGTAACTGTAAGAATCTTAAAATATAACTTTATTTCCTACACCTAAAATTAATCCAGGTATATAAATCAAGAGAATAAATAAATAATTTGTACTTTTCATTTACTTGTATTTAATATTATGACATCAGAGACTTCAATATTATGGATTATTTTTTATCAGTAAGTTGTTGAGAATGTATCCTTGGTTGTAGAACTTTACATTTTCTCACAGTGCGATGCATCCATATGTCCCCTACACTTCCTAATATTGGGATGTCCTTATAATAATTAGCTTAATAGTTTGATTATATTTTGGTAACTAGACTTCCTTAAAACTACACTAAAGGAGTTTCTGTTTCCATTGCTGTACTTTTGTCACACTGATAGTAACAGAGTATTCAGTATGACAAACGTACAGCAAAGATACAGAATACAATTTAAATATTTTACTAATTAATAATATGACTAAAGAAGGAATTTGTAAGTTTCATAAAAGGAGTATGTTATTAAACTTTATTAATAGGAGGTTCTGAAGATGGCAAAATTAATAAAATAAAGATAATTGCTAATGACTAATAAGATAAAGTTTAAAGGAAGTATAATGAAATGAAAAATAATTTTATTCTGGGACTGAAGTCTCCTTAGAATAATAGTAGAGTTCAAAAAATATGTACATTAGTCTGGCATGTAGATGTCATACAAATATATAAACAAAATACTAAGGAAAATACAAATATATACAAATAATACAAAGGAGAATATAAATATCTACAAAAAATACTAAGGAAGTACACAAATATATACAAGAAACACTGAGAGAAAAAAAGTGAATAAATACAAATAAAATGGCTATTATCAATTAACTGCTGGTGACCAACATAATTATATAACCCAGAAATTCTTTCCAAAAAAACAACTTAACCCAGAAAACAAGCTTGCGAAAGTTAGAATTTGTAGTAAGTGGTGGAATAGGAGTACTTTAGTTCGTGAGTAAGGAGTTCCAGAAGGAAGTAGCATGAATGGTGAAGGATTTACTGAAGAAAGTGGTTTTATGGGAGGGGATATATAAATCTATAAGTTGAGATCTAGTGTTGAGAGAGTGGATAGAGGAGCGTAAAGTAAGGAATTCTAAGATGTAGGGAGGGTTTTTGGTTCTGAGGACTTGGAAAAGAAAAACAACAAGAAGGAATTGCCGTCGGGAAGCAGGATAAAGCCACTTGAACTCGGTATACCAACAGGATACATGAAAACGCTTGCGAATCCCAAATAATTATGTATAGTTACGATAATTATAGATATAAAAAAACTTTGCAGAAAATACAAAAGGAATAAAAAAATAATAGCAATAGTTAGTTAATAAACCTATTTCTCTCTCCATGAAAATGATACAAGCAAAATAAGATACTCATTTCAAGATTTTTTTTTGGCAAGTATAATCCATTTTTTCAATGTTATTAAACAATATTTTGGAATAGGAAAAAATTTTCCACCTCATATACTAAAAACATAAATGACAATATGTCAATTAAATATAATATTTTCAGTAATTTATGTCCGTCCAAGTAAGTCTTTCACTCCCTAGGAAAGTTTTTAAAGCTCCCTTCTTTAGCAAAGATATTTTTAGTTTTCAAATTATATAACCAAACTGTGAGAACAGGGCTGTCAGAAGAAGCCATTTGTGTATATTTATAGACTCCTTAATAAGTTTTATAGGTTGTGGATTTGTTATTGACAGTGGATCTTTTTTTTTTATTCTTATTCTTTAGATCCAGACCTCGTGGAGGATTAAGCATTGAGTAGACTAAAAGGTAACAAAGACACATTGTTACTGAAGGGTCCCCAATGGACCTCCAAGTCTTAAAAACCTTAATTATTTTGAAAATGACCAAAAATACTTTTAAAAAAACTTTCCACAAAATAGCCGAAAAAATAAAAAAACAAAATCTTATATTTGTGACTTTTAAGATGAAACTTTTTTTGGGATTTGAACCCCGAGATTTTTACCAATAAGTCCTCCGCAGGCAGATTGACGGAGAGAGGAAGGGGGGAGCTTTTGGGCTGAAGCCCCCTCTCCCTCCTCGACCCCAAAAATGGTAAAATATAGCCATAATTTACAGAAAAAAGTATTAAAAACTATCTCTTAAAGTATTCTTGTTTGAGTAATTAATTTAATAGGCCTTAAAGAACCATTTAAATACCATTTCATATAGTTAATTAATTAATTTATTTTTTTTCAAATTGATAACGTTTTATATATATATATATATATATATATATATATAAAAAATCTTTCGGGCTGAAGCCTCTCCCCCCCCCCCCTGCAAAAAAATTAAATCCTTGGATCGACTAGTGAAGTCCTTCACACCTTCTTGGATCATACCTTAATTAATCAAGTAGGTACAATTTATGTAACAATGTCTAACTGATTATTTTAAGTATTTTCACATCGATAAAATATTGACTACATTTATGCTTCAATTTCTAAAGTATCGTCTACATGGACTAAAAGATTTAATTACTAACCTCCATGGATTCTTTTATACTGGCTGACTGAACCAGGAGGTGTATATTTTTTGTATTTTTTGGTCGTTTTAGTCCTCCAATTATAACTGGTTATTTTTTTAAATACATGGTCCAATAAATGGCAAAAATAACCAGTCATGAAAAAGAAAATTAAGGTCTAAATTACTTTTTTTTCTCCTAAAATGTAAGCATTAATAGTAACATTGAATAGACTGTGTTGTTTTTTTTTTCAACATCTAAACTACCAATTCTGAGCCTTGAATTAATCTTTACTCCTAGGCCATATTTATTTAACTAATTTTAAATATTATTTTTAATAAAACAACAAGATGTTTAATTTTAATAATATTTGTATTTAAAACTTAATATTTTATTTTGAACGGTTATAACTTGCCGGTAAAACAAAGGAGAAAAATCTGGTACTTGCATACATTAAGTCTGAGTGAGAAATAACCTGCCTTGGAGTAAGGTTCGGCAGAAGATGCAATGTTACTCCTAATTTGGATTATTTGAGAAATATGATGATCCTAGCCCTCAATGGAATAAGTCGTATTGAAGGCTCTTTCTTGGGCCTCAGGTACCCAGCAACGATGACTATAATGGAATATTACACTTTTATATTGAAATTTAATAGGATTTCATGTCGATAACATCTAAAACAGATAATGGATGCTATCTAAAAATGCCAAATGACCATTGGAGTATTACTTAATATTCTTAGCCTGGAATCGAAACCTCTCATAACTACAAAAGAGATTGGTGAAAATCCAGAGAACAGCTTTGCTGCAAGTAATGAAATGTTGTTCATAAAGCGGTCCAAGTTTTATCGGGAGGGGTACCTCTTTTATGTATGAAGTATGGCATTGTTCTAGCTTGAAATTGATAAGCTTTGAATTTATTTGTAATATTGCATGCATGTTTGATCTTAAAAATTTCCTTTTAACTAATTAAAATTAAAATTATTTTATACACATAGAACATTTTTTATTTTAATAATATTTTGACTTTCTTGTATGTTCAAAGTCTGAAATTATGCTGCTTGGTCATCATGAGTCTTTTAACTGTAATTTAAACAATTTTTCAATATTTTCCCTTTTTCAATTTTTATAGAACATAATCGTGTTTAATTTTATTTATGCAATTAAATTGATTTATGTGAATATGTTCAATCATAAAAATTATTTTCTGTCTGCAAGACACTAATATAGATAGATACATCTAAAAAACATAAACTAATTTTGCCTACAAATATGCCTAAGTTAATTTAGTAATGTAGTAAATATAATGAAAGTTTTTATTTGTTTCTAGCCTTCATTAATAATGGGAGCTAAAAATTACATCCCTAAACTTAACAGTTGAAACATGTCTTATAAAAAAAACTGTTGGGTTATTTTCATGATGAACTGATAGATTCGTTAGAAAGCAGAAAGAGCTTTTGTTTCGTTTGGAAAAAACGAAACGAAAAACAGATCAAACAGCAACTCGACTTGTGGCAAATGGGTGAACTAAAGAAAAACAACTGTTGTTATCTCTTTGGAGGAACTGTTCATTCGTTTGAGATCGAGAACTGTTCTTTTCAAACGTTTGACGTTTTCTTCTCCCACTCCTATTTACACTCTATGTCTCTGTTGCGGTATTTCCAAAACTGCTGAGCATGTCTTCACGAAGATTTTCCTCAGCTAGTTAGCAAGGATAACAATTCATACTACGAAGCTCTTGTATACGAGTAGATATAATTTGTGAGGATTGATCATTTCAGAAGAATTAAGAGAATAGATATATGGAGAGGTTGTGTAGAACGAGCTCCAAAACTTGTATTTCAGTTGAAAACTTGTATTCGAAAATGTATATGAAATATACAGATAAGTGAAAGTAAAAAGAAACCGAGTAACGAATAACCGCATATATTCCAATAATCGCCATATCAGTGGATTGTGGATTGCTTACGTAAACTTACACCTAACACATCGAAACCGATTGCGAAATGAATCTTATATTTTTACAGAAAATTAATATAATTTTATTGATATTTCAAGCCTTGTTAAACTCGATGCCAAAAACGCCTTGTACTTTACGTGTATTTGCAGATAGCTACTCTCGCTGTATCACGGCCTTATAAATCCAATCCTCAGAATATTTTGAAGTGCCAAAAGATTGTTGAGGGATTACTTCTTCAAGGAAGAAAGATATTCTTTCAAGGGATATTAAGCCACTGTGGTCTCCATGGCAATGAAATAGCACATAAAGTCACCAAGAAAGTCTCTACATTGAACTAGCAAAAAAATTGTATATCATTTTATAGAGCTAGGAAAGAGATAAATAGGACCAATCAGTCATTACGGCTATAGGGTAGTTAAAACATTTGAAAATGGGTTGTTTTTCTAGGTTAGTATTTTTGTGAATTGTCTGTTATAACCTACCTCACCATTTCCGGAATAAGGGAGATTTTCTTAATTTTACCATTTTACCAAACGCGCCCCCTTCATACTTCTAAATCCAGTCAGTAGCCTATTTTATCATGTTTATGAGTTCGGTTTGGTATTTCCAGTACTGCAGAGGAATGTGGCAAATTTATTTTTTCTGTGAAGGTCTGGCATATTTCATACTATTGTCAAGTGAAGTATTTAATATTAGAGAATTGTATGTCAGTAAATAATACTTAGTTAGTTAGGGCAAGTTTTTAAACTCAGCGCTAATTCCATCGATAGAATCCTTTGATCGATTGAATCTAGCACCAATAGATATATGTTTATGCTGGATCCATCGACCCCAATAATCGCTTAGTCATTGGTGATTGAAACCGATGAATAAAAAGACGCGTTGAATTTCATCGATGAGAAATGCGCTTACTTTAGATACTTGCCCATAGTAAGTTGTCAATCCGTACTGTCCGTTCGCGTGGAACGTTACCTGCTGATTGATGCCAAAAATTCTAGAACATCAATCCAGATTGGTCAAAGTGTTTATAACGTCATGTTATTTGAATTCATTCTCCACTAGAGTCATCTGTCCACGTCTAGAGCTAACGTGAGATGTCAGCGTTCAAGTGGAGTCTCTTCAACTTTAATTAAAACAGGGAATAAATGTTTCAATTTAGCATAATTCATTTAACTGTTAAAAAATCAACACTTACAAGGTCTGTTCAAACCAAGGAGGTGTGAATCACAATTTATACCTCCTTGGTTCCAACACGAGTTTTGACTCTCAGCAAACTGACAGGCGCATGCGCAATGCTGTTTCTTCACTCCAAAATCTGTACCGCGCAAGCGCCTGACAGATTGTTAATAGTCTTAATTCGTGATGGAATCAGCTTATGTTCTAATTATTTTTTTAACTCATAAAAAATCATGATAAGTCTCTTACCTTTTTAACTACTTGTGAAAAGCCAATGGACCTCCTTAAGGTTCGAAGAGTTCTGTCCTCAACTGATATTTTTTGAAGCATTTCTTTCAGGATTTCTGCAAAAAAAAAAAAAAATCATCATTAATGTTTCAGATTTCTCCACTGGCGGATCTACGCGTGACTTTCGGGCTGAGACGTTGTTACAACATCCCAGCCATATACTATTTTAAATACGTAATTTCATTTTCTTACAACTTTTTATTTTCGAGCTAGTTTAGAAAATGATTTTTGAAAACCATTTTGTGAGAATTAGTAATTTCGACTAAGGGGACTTTAAGAGTATTTTCTTTGAGAACATCCTGAAGAGTTATGAATGATCGGAAGGGTGTTGTGTTCCATAAAGACACCTTTCCCCACACCTCATTGGTGAATTGCAATTAATTATTGAGCCTTGGATGGGACCTTTTGCCTCACCTTCCCTATTCACCAGGCCTAGCTCCAAGTGACTACCACTTTTTCCGGTCTCAGCAGAAGTCCATGAATCGAAAAAAAAATCCAAAAGGAAAAGGACATCAAAAACCACTTGGATCAATTTTGTAACAATAACTTGTGAACTCCAGACATTCTATGAATATGGGGTTATGCAGTTAGTGGAAAGATGGAAAAAAGTCATATTAAATAATGGTCAATATATTGTAGATTAAAATAAATTTTATGTCTATAATACATTGAGTTTTATTTTACCCTGAAAACCGAAAGGACTTACTTGCCAACCCAATACTATCAAATCGAAAATTATTTCCAGGCCACGTCTATTTAATGGAACTTCCATAACTGAAGTCAATGGTTGTAATAACTACATAACAAGAATCGATGCCCATTGAGGAAGTATTCTACAACCAAATGTTGCATAAGATAACAAAATGCGCTTGGATAAGCAGATTATGAATTTTTTAGGATTACGAACCCAGTTATTTTTGGACGAAAGGGGACAAGATCTGTTACATTATTGGTTTTCTAATATCGGCAACCTGGTTATTTTTATTTTTGCGGTTACGTAAACTTGGGGGGGAGGGAGGTGTAACATAAGTGAACTTGACTCGAGCCCGAAATAGATTAAACTTTTCTTTTTTTTTTTCTCTTATTTATCGGTTATATTAACATTGTCAAAAACAGTCTTAACCATTTATTGAAGACCGCACAGGGAGACAAAATAGTCGATTTTCGGCAAAAATAACAAGAAACCCGTAGGCCTTATGTAAAAAACCTTTTTGTTAAAAATATCCATGTATCTTTTAGTAATGAATCTAATGATGGTAATCCCAACAGTTTTACCCATTCTGAGGGTCAAGTATCGAATAGTGGTCTGATGGTCAAACCAACATCTATATATATATATATATATATATATATATACACATACATATAGATGAGGAGATCTCTCATTCAGGTTTTTTTGTCCTCTACTGATGTTATTGGGCATGTTGCTTGTGGCAATGCCTTGAATTAGTGAGTTAGTGTATCCGTGTATTTGGTGGGAAATCTTTAGTGATTTGTTCGTATCTGAACATCTTAATGTAAAGTAATGCTTCTGACTTATCAGGGAGCTTTGGTTATATTCTTAAGCGTTTTTTACTGGAATGTTTGTAGTTTACGTATGTGGGTCTTTTTGGCTACTCTGTACAAGTATGAAGGGTGGCTTTAAACGGGATGAAATAAGTATAAGTGTTCAATTCCTGTCTAATTTTAATTTCGAATATAAAGATAAGAGTAAATATAGTATTTTTGATGTGTGTGCCCTACATCAGTCTTTTGTCAAATGTCTGAACATTGTCGGAGTAATAGGCTAGTCTCGCCTCGAACAGTAAAAGTAATATGTTATCATTTATCTTGGTCGAGTCGAATTTTCCATATCTTGCACAAGCCGTGAGATTTTATTAGTGTTGTAGAGTCTGTCATGCGTGTGTTGGATTTTTTGTAAAAATAGTTCCATCGTCTGCTTAAGTCAGAGTTTTGGAACAGTATGAAATATCATGTGCGTATTATAAATATTGAAGCAAGTACTGACTCCTGAGACACTGCTGCAAAAGCTTGTATAATAGTAGAAAGTTACAATACAGTCTAATAATAAAACAATTGTAAAGGTCAATTCCAAATTAACAGTTTGGATACTAGAGAGAGCGAGCTATTGAGAGCGTTGCCCGGCAACCTGATATAAACCGAAAATTTCGAGGTCAAATCCCGGTGCCAGAGGGACTTTTAATTCTAGTATAACTTTTCTACCCTTACCCCTACTTCCTGAAAAACCCGTATAGCCTAAAAGGCGAAAAAGGGAGAAAAAAAGTTGGGACACTAGACTGTCATGAAGTGAACGGATTTTTTCCAAAGGCAGTTAAATAAGATGTGATTTAACTAGCTTAGAAAAAAAAAAATAACTATTTATAGGAAATAATTAAATACAAAATTGGAATATAGAGCTTGATTTTTTTTTGGAACTAGACGCCTCAACAAACATATTTATAATGTTACTTTATAAAACTATCTGATAGTTTATAACAAATAAATTCTATTATTTTAATTGTCAATGAAAATTTCTCTTTAGATGTTATCAAATTACTCAAATATCTTCAGACTTGGATTTTACCAAATCTGTCCTTAAGTGAAAGGAGTATCCTCTATCACGCCTAGTGTGTGATGAATAAGTAATTTCTTATGTACCCAATAAAAATGGTGAAAACAATATTTTTTTTTTCAGTATAGACTGATATATTTGGCAAATTTTGTGAATGAATTTCACATTTCAAAATAAATTTCCCAAAAATAAAAATAAAAATGCTGCAAATGATTTCACAATGGTTTATTATCTCCAAACAATTATACATCTAAAGTATCATTACCTTCCGAGTTACAAAGAAAAAAATGTGATTCCAATTATTGGACTAAACTGTTTTTCTTTAATCATTTGTAATATGCTAAAAAAAAAATAGCATTATTTCAGTAACACATTTAAAATTTAAAAACCAAACCAAGGATATAACATTTGCAGTAGAACACATAAAAACAAACCAGAGACCATATCTTTGCTCCTAATTGTCCGATTTTAACGATTTTTTTTTTAGGAAATTTCATAAACTTTTAAAAAACTATATACAATATCAACAAAAAAGTAAAAACTTTTCGTGTTATTCGGAATTTAATTTTACCATCCCTCGTAACTTTTTTTCCAGCTTCTTTTCGTTGAAGTATGTTATATAGATAAATTTAAAGGGCGTCGAGAAAATGACTTTAGGGAAGTTTCATTGAAATCTGTAGATTCGTTTAGGAGCTACAGTCTAGAGCAACGCAGGTTTTTCGGCCGCCATTTTGAAAGTTAAAGGCGGAGAGTAATGTCGATGAAGGAGGATCATCCTTGGGTGACCTCTGATATTATATCAAAATTTGAAAAAAATCGGTCCAGTAGTTTCGGAGAAAATGCGCGGACGGCGTACGATGTACGGCGGACGGCGGACGGACAAAAAAATTTTTATTCGTTTTTCGAATTCTACGAATCTTGAAACGTGAAACCTCAAATTTTGAGAGGGGTTATGTTTTTGAATTTTTTGGTCGATCACAATGTTTCATTATTGAAAATAATAAACCAAAATTGAAGAAAGAATGAAGAAACTATCTACTATTCGAAGAGAGTTCAGTAATGATAGCTAATGGGAAAACGTCGGAACACAGGGATGGATTTGTGCCCTTGCGCATTCTTACACAAGACAGTTCCTCCTTCATCAACTATTCATGACTTTGGAATATATTTCAACCTCTTTTCTTCACCTGCGTCCTATCTCTTTGCAATTCATGTTTTAAGTAGTAACGAGTGAAAAACAAATGGACTCCAATAATCTAGGAAAATTTAGAGACAATATTAAATTGTTCTACTCATTATACTTCTCCACTGCCGAAAATAGAAAAGCATTATAATCCTGTAAGGAGGTAAAAAAAATGTGCTCAAAATCGATAATTTCCATTTCTAGAGAAGTCAAGAATGAAATTTGTTTTTCTTTCTATCTGTATTAAAATCCATGTGACAGATCTATTATCTAGTGTCTTTAAACATATTTTTATGAAATCTTTAGAAATTGTGTGATTTGGTGCCCAGATGGTCTTTCAATCAATTTCATCGAATTCAAGCCACTACTTTCGCATACGTACTTGTAACTTTATTTTCATAATAATCCAAAAACGGTAAAAGAAATGTTTGATATTAGTGAACAAATGATCCTATATCATATTAATCGAATTTCATCCACTATTTCCTCTTACAGACTTGTAAAAGAAATTGGGTTGGCAAATAAGTCCTTTCGATTTTTCAGAATGAAATAAAAAACTCAATGTAATACAGAAATAAAAGTTACTTTTATCTACAATATATTGACCATTATTTAATATTACTTTTTTTTATCTTTCCACTAACAACTGCATATTGCCATGTTCATAGAATTTCTGGAGTTTATTGTCAAAAAACTGATCCAAGTAGTTTTTGATGTCCTCTTCCTTTTGGAATTTCTTTCCATTCATGGAGTTCTGCAGAGACCGGAATAAGTGGTAGTCACTTGGAGCTAGATCTGGAGAATAGAGAGGGTTGGGCAAAAGGTCCCATCCAAGGCTCAATAATTTATAAATTTCTTGTAGATAGCTAAAGTTGTTTTGAAGTTATAACATTTTTTGTGATTTTCGAAAAAAAATCATGTGAGGGGCCCAAACATAACCCTGCAAACATAGCTGAGCTTGTGCAAATGGTTTCCTACGCGTGTGTGCGACACATTTAGGGCCATAGCAATCTTTCGCACTGATTGGATGATATTTTGATCAACTCTAGCCTCAACATTGCTCGTTCAATTTAATGTGGGCGACCAGACCGTTGAGTATCATTGATGTCAAAAATTTCCTGAATGAAATTTGGCAAACCAATTTTGACAGCTGCGTTCGGTTTCAAAACACTCACTGAAGCTCACCGAATCATTTGAGCCATCAAACAAAAAAATCGATTCAGCCGCTCGCTCAAAACCACGTTACATAAGTTTTAGCGGATACCCCGAACACATTATCCTCGTGTCGTGTCGCTTTCTGA